GTTCATAGCTCTGTGCCCAGACCTCCCCTCACCCCTCTCAGCAACACCCAGGCTCAGTCTCTGCTTCAACGGTGGCCAAACTCCTAGGAGAGATGCATGTGGGAAGGGTGGTGGCTGGAAGGCTGGTGGGGTGGGGGCACCAAGGAATGAGCAGGGTGGGTGGGCAGACCCTGGAAGTCCTGGCACCAGCTGGGAGAAGCGCCTCTGAGATGGACAGCAAACCTCAGCCAGCTTAGTCTGTCAGCAAGAATCCCAGCTAAAAATATTCCAGCATCCAAGGTCTACTGGCTACTCCTGCAGCTGCCTCAGAACCCCCTCCTTATATGGGTGCTGCCTGTGTGCCCCTGACTGCCCTTGCAGGAAGCTGGCAATAGGGCCCACTAGATTGGAGAAAACCCTAGCCCTGCACCCTGTGAGTCCCAGCCCCGCTGCAGTATCCAGATGTGTCCTGGGGGACTACCATTCCCTCTGGGAGCCAGAAGAAGTGGCCGACCCAGCCTTGGAGTCCAGACACCAGCACACATGTCCCACCTGGTTGGAGCCTCCTCCGCTCTTCCTGCTTAGGCCCCCATCTTGGAAATAGGCCATGGTGCTGGGAGCAGGGGTCGGGGGCGGGGGAGGCAATGTACAATGCACACATCCCTGAAACCCTCTGGAGACAGGAGGCGTGAGTGCCTAGAAGGGCACATGCCCAGCATAGCAGAGTCCAGGACAATACTCTGTGGAAGGAAGTCATTGCAGAGGTCACAGACACTGGGAGTTGGGCATGCCCAGGAGGACTTTTGGGGAAGCTGCCAGGGCCCGGGCTGTTGGTCCCTTTCCCCTGCAGCCCCAGTTGCTGCTGTGGATAGCTTTGATGAATAAGATATAAGGAAGCTGATTAATTATGGCTTAATATGCACCAAAGTTGGGCAGAGGGACTCATTGGGGTGGGATTCCCCAGGGGTGCAACACTGATGACAGGAGAAGGCCAGGACACCCTCTGAAGTCCCAAGGTGTGAGGGGAGCTGGTAAGAGGCTCCTAGAGAAGCAAGGGCTGGAGGTGGCCCAAGAGGGGCTGCCAGAAGGTTCATCTATTTAAACTCCCCAGAGTTCCATTTCCTGTCTGTAAAATGGGTGGTGGTAGTGTGTCTCCATCTCAGGATCAATGGGACCGTGCGCTTAGCAGGCCTTGGCACAGAGTCCTCTCGGGCCTTGGGCACACAGCCGCCCTCTGTGGTGAGAGCAGATGGCGGGCTGCCACCCCCCAGCTCCCTGGCACTGAGACCACATCCCCAGCCACCCACTCAGGTCGGTCACATTGGCACACTCAGGCAGCAGGTGCAGGTTTGCTGTGTGACCTTCGAGCTTCCTTCCTGGTCTCTCCTTGCCCTGTCCCAGAGTAGCCCTGGCTGTATGCAGCAAATACCATGTTCCCACACTCCTCATCCCTCCCCAGGAGAGCAGCAAAGGCCTGGAAGTCCATGGGTATCCCACAGGGATGCCCGAGCAAAGCCATGACAGGCTTCCCTCTCCAGGAGGAAAACAAGCTCCCACGGTCCTTGAAAGCAGTGACCTCCTACAGAGGCTGAACCATGTCCCAGGCTGGTGAAAGTGAAGGGTGCCCATGCTCCAAGCTGGATTCTGAGTGGACCTGTAGGTCTGAGTGAAAGCTCTGCAATCCTTGCCAAGGCTCCACGTGGTCCTTCCAGTGGACAGGAGAGGTGGACAAAGAAGGGACAATAACCAGCTGGCTACACCTAGAAACATTAATGTCTACCTTGTTCACATACTTTGTTGAGCTCAGAGAGGCCAAGGGGCTAGGCCAAAGTCACACAGCCAGGGAGGGTCCTTTCATGCCTAACATATTGGTCATGGAGCTGAGTCCAAGGTGAGGCAGCCCTGTGGCAATACTGGACCTCACCAGAGGAGGGTATGGAGTTGGCAAGCTGGCAAGAAGCTGCATCCTATGTGTGGTGGGACTGGGGGTAGGAAACAGTTCAGGTAGATGCCATTGTGGCCACACAGGCCCAGCCCAGGCCGGTCGTGACAGGTCCCTTTACCTCCAAGGGCAGAGCTGTCTGCAGGCTCCAGCCCAGGCCCTCCCCTGATCCCCAGGGTCACGTGTCCAGAAAGCTTGGAGGACTTAGGTCCATGCTGTCCAAATGGCTTATCATCTCAGCACCCCTGCTGGGGCTTCCCAGGAACTGATCAGTATGGACTTCGGCAAAGGGACAGTGAGTGACCAGGCTCCCCACACTGGGTCTCTGGCTCTTCCCCCAGGGGTTGCCTCTAGAGCTGGCTGTGTCCCTTAACCAGAGGTTCCAGTCCCTGTCAACCCCTCCCCCTGGCCCCCCACTAGCTGTCAGCTGTCCTCCCTCCCTTGTCCTTGGGCCCTGAGTGGTGATGGATCTGTGGCTGCCCATGGGAGGAGTGGTCCGCTCCTCCCATGCTTGCCCAGCACCTGCCCACACTCTGATAAATATGCTTTGCCAAGTCCTCCTACCTTCCCAACCTGAGGACTGAGCTGTGTCCTCTGAAGCGGGCTGACCAGCCACCCAGCCCTGTTTAGCTCCTCCTCTGCCCCCTTCCATGAGCCTCTTTAGCATCAGCTCACACCCACCCACCTCAACCCACACCCAGGGGTCCTCCATCCCACATGCGCAGCCTCCAGCCTGGTGGGCGCTGGCCAAGGTGCTGACCAGAGTGGTGCTGCAGGAAATGTGCCCTCTTTATGCCTGGGCCCTGCTCTCACTGCACAGACCTGCAGGCAGGTGGGGAGTCCAGGTCCCAGCCAGAACAGCCAGGCTTGGTGGCTAGAGAGAGCTCCCTTGCCAGAGCCTCCATGGCAGCAGTGGCTCCCCGTCCCCTCCCACACCCCCAGCTATTGCAGGAGGGGTGGGAGCCTTTGAGCTATGGAGGGTGCAGTCACAATCTTCAGCCACTGGGAAAGCCCTGGGTCCATGATAACTAAGTCCACTCACGAGCAGTCAGCACAGAAATGCTCCTCTACAAGGACAGATGCCCTATCTTCAGACGGTCAGCCAGTGTCATATGATTGGTCTATCTTCTGGTCTGAGGTGGCCTTTCAAGGAGGTCCAGTTCCTGTTCTGACTGGTGCAGTGTACAGGGCCCTGGAAGAGGGGCACTAGCCTAGGGAACAGGCCATGGCACCTTGCTGGCTCTATGAGCTTGACCTTGGGTTCTTCATCTGTATAATAGGTGACAAACCACCCATGTGGCAGGGAGAGAATTCACTGAGCCTCCACAGGGGCCAATCTAGTGGCACTCAGTGAGCAACACTCAATGGCTGTTAGTGCCCACTCTGCCTTTCAGACACAGAGACACCAGGGTTAATCTGGGCTCTACCTCACCTCCACAGTGACCTGGAAAGCTAAGGCTGAGACAAGAGACAGAGGGACACAGCAGGCAGAGATGTGGTCAGGGCCACAGAGCAGCAGCCAGGACAAGTCTGAGCAGTGCAGCCTCCATCCACATTGGGCCAGAGGACCAGCCCATCAAAGGCACTGCCTTTTGTCTCCACCCCTACCTGATGCCTTATGGCTATACGGGAACCCTGGTGAGGCAGGAGGGTCCTGAGCTCTGTGCTCTGCTTATGCCCCCTAAAGCCACCTCTGAGGCCATGGGGCTTTGTTTGGGGGGAGGTAAAGTGCACTGGGCTGTCCAGTCACCAGATCAGAGGGTGATGCTGACAGGGCTCCCAGGGGGACAACTAAGAACTCAGCCAGGGGTTTTCAGCTGTGGGGAGGGGCCCAGGCCCTGGCCTGGGCACAGAGTTCAGCAGACTGGCTCAGCCAGCTTCCCCTCCCCATAACCTTTCTCTAGCAAGGTCAGTTTAGAGAGACCCCGGCCTGCCAGGCTGGGAAGACCCAAGCCTGGCCCACCTGGCTTCCAGGACTCCCCCAGGTGCAAGGGGGCACCGGCCTGGCAGTCAGCTGAAGACCCCAGGATGTACTCAGGAGGTCATCTCCGTGCCAGGGAGATGGCCCAAGCAGGAGCAGGTGTGACACATCTGCCTGTATGTGGCAAAGGGTGTCATTAGGTGCTCTGGTCCCCCACAGCTGGGGCTAGCTTAGTGGGGGGGGGGACAATAAGCCGGTGAGCTCAGAGGGAGTCCTCACAGTTTGGAGCCCCCATTCCAAGGAGGGAAGAGGGGGGGCACCTGCAGAGAAAGAGGCAGGACTAGGCTTGGGTCCTTTCCCTGTGAGGGTGCAGAGAGGGCCACAGACACAACTGGGGTCTCCTGAACCCTCTTAAGCTTTGCGCTACCGTTTCTTACTGAATCATGAGGGCAACCCTCCCGCGGAGGGGTTCTGGGAGCAGGGGTCCAGGATTTCGGGGGGGAAAGGCAGAGAGTCGGCCACTCAGAGCGTCCTTCCCACCCCTAGGACTCGAAACAAAGGTCTTGTCCGCTTGGGGACCCGGCCAACTTGGGCCGCCACGCCCTCGAGCCCGCGCCCACGGCCCGTTCCGGGCGGCCATCCCCGCGGCCGCCTGCAGGGGCCGCCGCCACTTCAGGAATGCGCCGCCTTTGTCTGGGGCCGCGCGGAGCCCGTGCATCCGACCGGCTGAGCGCCTCCTGCTCCCGGCCCGCGCCCCCCGGCCCGAGGCGCCCCCCACCCCCACCCGGGTTTGCCCTCCGCCCCGCGCGGCCCGCGCCCAGGTGAGCGCCCCTCCAGCCGCCAAGCCCCGCCCCGGCCCCGCCTCGCCCCAGCCGGTGGGGGGGACCGGGCGGATTCCTCTCGCATCAAACCACATGATCCCATAAAACATTCATCCGCTCCCGGCCCGCGCCGTGAGCGCCCCGCCAGTCCGCGCCGCCGCCCTCGCCCTGCGCTCCCGCGGCCCGCG